TAACAATAGCCTCAACCTCAATTAGCCAAATGGCTGGCTCACTGCTGCCAACTAGTGGTCAGAGGCTGAACTACAACATAAAAATGAACGGCCGGCAGGAAAGTTGACATTTTAAACCTTAATAAAAAATCGATACAGGGCTTTAGAATATCGATACAGTATCGGGGAAATGAAATATCGCGATATTTCAGTGTATCGATATTTTCTTACACCCCTATCAAATAATTAGGTCCCCTAACTCTAAAGCACTAACTCAAATATTTAGGTCCCCTAACTCTAAAGCACTAACTCAAATATTTAGGTCCCCTAACTCTAAAGCACTAATGTAACCCAGTTGACACATGAAACATTCTTCAGAGTCAACATGAGACAATATTTACTGTGTGCAAGATGTTGTCACTTAGTGCCCTTGGTGGGCCAAATGAGAGTCACCTGCAGGCCACATTTGGCCCGCAGACCTTCAGTTTGACACATGTGGCTTTATAGATAAGTGACACACGTGGACAAAATGTGTGACAGCTTTCACCCTCAACTGTGAACAATTATGTTGATCAATAACATCCATCTAACCATCCAACCATCTATCCATCTAACCATCCATCCAACCATCCAACCATCTAACCATCCATCCATCCATCCATCCATCCATCCATCCATCCATCCATCCATCCATCTATCTAACCATCCAACCATCTAACCATCTAACCATCCAACCATCCATCCATCTAACCATCCATCCATCTATCCATCTATCCATTTATTTAACAAGTGCTAATCCACTAATTAATTAAAAAAAACAGCAAAAATCCTAAAGCACTAATCAGGAAATAATTTCCCCTATTAATGCTTTAGTGCTTTAGGGGAACTGTGACCACCACTGCTTGAAGTTCATTTTAATAAGTATAGTCGAGTATAAGTTTAAGTATATCAAGTATACTATGCACCATGTACTTGTAGTGTACATGGTGCATACAGGTATACTGATTTAATACTTTTTCAGACTAAATTGGGACTTTTTTTTAGTTTAGAAAAAATATACTTTAAAGTATACTGTAATATGGTCTTTTTCAGTTTACATAGTATACATTCAAGTACTCTTCTATATATTACTATTGTACTACTTATATACTTGTGCTTCACATTTTAGTATGTTTAAGTACATTCAAAGTATAACACAAATGTACTTTGTGTTGCACTTGTACACTTATAATCTATATTTCATTTGAGTATAGTTTAACTAATAACTAAATTTAAAATACTATTTTTGACATTTTACTTTTAGATTATACTTGGAAGTTTGCTTAGCACATTACTCAGAATACTATTTATATGAAGAAGATGAAGAAGAGGATCAAATGAAAACTCACTGTCCTTGGCATGCAGTGCAGAGAACTGTGTAAAATTGTTCAAATGTTCAAATGTTCAAATGTTCATGGTCTCTGCAGCAGCTTGTTGTAGTTTTATTTGTTGCATTTTTTCCAAAAACTGGCAAGAAAGGGTTTTAAAACAAGACATCTTGAAATATATACTACAAAATAAAAAAAATGTGTGAAACTATACTTTCAGTGTACTACTACTTAAATTTATCTTGGCCAAAAGTTTAAACATAAGTAGACTAAGTATACTCAGTTTTAGTATATTTTTTAGTACAAGACTAGTATAGTGTAAGACAGGGGTCTGAAAACTGCGGCTCTGGGGCCACCTGTGGCTCTTTGGTCTCTCTGTAGTGGCTCTTTGAAAAGGTGACCAAACAAAATGATTTTTTGTTTGTTTTTTATACCTACAACAGAAATCAATTTGTATGCAAATGTATGATCAATACTACTAAAACAAAAAGTAAAACATTGTTGATTAGCTCATGTTAGCCTGTTGTTACTTAAATAATCCAACTTCTTTTTATGATCTTTCTGTCAAATCCATCAGAATTACCTTTACATAATTTGAAGACTATAAGAAGGATTAGAAAAAAAATATGTCTGAATAATTCAGTTGTTTATGAAATTTGGTATAAACTATATACAGTATTTTTCTTGAATATAGTATTTTCATTTGTCCTCATGTGTATAAATAATAATAAATAATACAATTCACAAAATATATATATTTTGTTTTTTTTACTGTCTCCTCCACTGGCCATAAAGGATTAGAAAAAAAATATGTCTGAATAATTCAGTTGTTTATGAAATTTGGTATAAACTATATACAGTATTTTTCATGAATATAGTATTTTCATTTGTCCTCATGTGTAAAAATAATAAATAATAAAATTCACAATATATTTTTTAGTTTTATAATGTCTCCTCCACTGNTATATATATTTAGTTTCATGATGTCACCTCCACTGGCCGTAAAGATTCCCAAAAAAGGTCCACGGACCACCAGTTGATAATCACAGTTGTAGCTTGTTATAGTTTAGGGCATCAAGTAGCAGAAATGTTTCTTTTGATGGTAAAAGTTGCAGACCCCTGGTGTAAGATTAACTTGGTTAAGTGTATCTCAGATAAGTACCTAAAAGTAAACTGGAAGTATAAAATTAGTATACTTAAACTTTAGGATACTTATATACTACTGTTTGCTAAGGGTCTTATAAAGCAGAGGCTGTCAGTTTTCTGTCAGTAAAGTTGTGCCTTTTATTGTTCTCTCGCTCCTTCCTGCTCATCTGAAAGAGAACTTGTAACAATTCAAGGACGTAATTTTTTGTATAGGATGTTGTCACACCCACTCCCAGCTGCTCTCTGCTTTGTCACAATGCTGTTTATCTCTCTGAACGCTTCCTGTTGTGTACGCTGACAGAAGCTCCTCCACACACTCAGTCATCACCAACGCTCAGACAGTACGTCTCTAACTTGTCCTCATGTCTCCTGTGTGTCTCGTCCAGGTGAGTGTGTCCTTCAGAGAACTGTCATGGTGAGGAAGAAGCTGACAGCCAGAGAAGGTCGAGGCTGGCTCTCTGGTACCCTGTTCTGTACCCACTTCAGAGTGGCCTTCGTCCCACAAGACAGTCCCAAACCTGATGTGAGTGAATGTGTGATGTTACAGTTTATTATTGAGTGAGTAGAAGATGACAGGTAAAATCTGTAAATATAGCTTCTAATAAATGCCATCATAAACTGTCAATAAATAAAAAAATAAATGAAATGCAGAGGAAGTGTGAGAAAACACTTTTATTTTTGTAGTTTCTTCTTGAATTAAGAGTGTTCATAAAAGCAGCTCTATAAAAGACTTCACACGTCCTGGTGGTTCAGGTTTTCACTGCTACACGTTCGATGATACAGACTGATCAAAACAAGGACAAATAGATTCAGAACACCTAATAAAACCTGAATCACAGCAGAGCTGTAGTGTAATAATCTGTTGTTAGATCAGAGGAGGCATGGTTGTGTGTTCATGCTTTTTATTCATCTTTTTTATAGTTTTATTTGCTCTTATAGTTTATTTGGGCAGTGAAATATATTTTATAATATTTATGTTGTCGCTGCTTAATGCGTCTCTAAAGCTGGACGTAGTTTTTTACATGACTTTCTATTGATGCTAAGTAGGACTGCACAATATTAGGAAAGCATGCAATAAAAATGCTTAATATTGTGATAACAATATGACTTGTGATAAATGAACAAATACATAAGATGTAGTGTTGACATCTTTCTGTTCTGGGTTCAGAGCAAAAAAAACACAACTAACCATTTCTATTCAAACGTGACTTTTCAAAAACATGAAGAACTCCATTTTATTGGTGAAATACTTCAAGCTTCTGTCTGAATGCAAACGTTTGAGCCGACCATTTATTGCAGTTTTTTTTGCCATATGCATATTGCACAGGCTGTTATGATGATGATACATTTTGATATATTGTGCAGCCTTGTGTGTAAGTAATAACCACAAGTTGTTATTCATCAGAGGTTTTATTTGGTAACTTAAGAGCCTTAATGTTAAAACAGTTTATTTTTGTTTTGTATATTTTTACTTGTGTTAAATTAAAGTTGAACATTTATGTCCTGTATCTGCTGCAGGACAATGCAGATCCAGTTCTTCTTGGAGAACACGATGTTGCTTTGGCATCAATAGAGAAGGTTGTTGCTGGTGAGTAAAGCTTCACATTCACATTTTGATGCAGTTTCCCAGAGCTGTAAAGTAACTAAATACAAGTACTTTGTTACTGTACTTAAGTAGAAATTTAGGTTATCTGTACTTTACTTGTCGTTATTTTTCAGCCTACTTTTTACTTCTACTCCTTACATTTTTACACAATTATCTGTACTTTTTACTCTTTACATTTTTTATAAAGTAGAAAGTCATTTCTCCTATTTCATTTCGGCTTGTTAAAAAATACTATCCTGATAAATTGTCTCCTGGATAGAGTGAATTTAATTGTGGTTGGATGAGAAGTATAAATATATAAAATTCTGATATTGTATTAAGTTTGTACATAATCCATCAAAGCTGCACACATTTTAGAAAAAATGTTTCTTGAAGAGGTCACTTCCCAATAAAAGTATTTTGGAAAATCTAATCATTCATTTTTACTCAGTACTTTTACTTTTGTTACTTAAGTACATTTATGTCAGAAATTTACTTTTGATACTTAAGTACAAAATAAATCAGATACATTAWGACTTTTACTCAAGTAATATTCTTAGAGGAGACCTGAACTTTCACCAAAGTAATTTTATGATAAGATACTTGTACTTTTATTCAAGGATCACTTTCAGGTACTTTATACAACACTGCAGTTTCCTTTTTCATGGAGGAATTATTAGATTATTGATGGATGTTTAATTCACTGCTCTGAAACAGTGCCAGCTTGGGGAATATACAGAGTTATTGCTGCACTACAACTTGTATTAACAAAAACATTGATTATATTAAACCTTCTAGAGACAGAAATCTGATTCAGTTTATCTTTAATGTCTACAACATGGTTTGTTTGATGTTTAACTGGTACTGTGTCCCACTCTGCGTTGCAGTTGGTCCCAACAGGACCAAGCTGGTGAGCCCACACTCCTCTCTGAAGTTCACCCCAGAGGAGCTGGTGCTTTACTGTCGGGACATGCGAGTCATGTGCTTCCTGTTTGACCGCCTCACTCCTGATGCTCAGGTCATAGAGGTGTGTTCACACTCTGATTTAAACACCTCGTTTTCTGATTTCACTGGACTGCAGCACCATTTCTGATGCATTATTTTAATTTTGTTATGATTTATCTACCCTGAGTGATTGATGTGCTTTAATGTGTGTCGAGTCAGATTCAAGGCTCTGGTTACTTCTCACTCTGCTCATGGGTCGTAAGACAGCAGCACAGAGAAGCTGATCTGTGCTACAGACCACTGATCTGAGAGTGAAAGATGATGACCTTTGTCATGTTGATGGCTTCACTGTGCTTTCCCTCCTCAGATAACCTACACCATCGCCAAGACCTACCAGCCTGTCAAACCTGGATCCGTTTTATCTTTCCAAAATGCTGCCCTTGGGAGTGTAGGTGAGTGGTTTGATGTACACAAGCACTGTGAGCCTTTCTGGAACTGATACAAGGTCGTATTATTCTGTCAGCGCATGCTTCTTAGAGCAGTCACACAGCTCATTGCTGAGATAAATAAAAACTGATGCAAAAGGACTTTGAGTCTGTGAGTATTAATAGTATCAGCGGTTTAGTTGAAGTGTGAAGCAAATGTCCACCAGATCAGAAACAGAAATCTATTTTTACGTTCCTGTTTTGAAAAGTCTTGAAGAATGTGTTTCAGATCCTTCTTACTCCGTCCAGAGACAGAACGCACAGAAATCTGCCTCCCTCTGTCATCTCTGCCATCTGTGAAACCGTCTGAGTGTGATGCTGGAACTCTTGCAGCTCATGAAAAACGCGAAACTGGAAACATTCTGTGCAGACTCTTAACATATAGAGCTCATGTCTTCTCCAGTCACCAAGACTGGAAATATTCTGCCGCAGTGACGACACGGTGAAAATACCAGCTTCCAAACCAAAACCATATGGGAGGAACTCTGCAGCGGTTTGAGCCTGAGGCCTTCGAAGGATGACAGGGATTTAAGAGCTGAGTTTACCAAACTTCCCAAATGTATAATTAAACAATTAAAGTATGTTAATCTTTTTTTAATCAAGCTGTCGGGTTAAAAACAGGCGCAATTCTAAACCATCTTCTAGGTCCACGCCAGTGGTGGGCAGCGCTAATTCAAAAATTAGCTCCTCAGTTTCTAAAGCGCTTATGAAAATATTTAGGTCTGCAACTTCAAAAGCACTAATGCCATAGAAATATTAGCAGAAGCTAATTTTAAAGCGCAGTTTCAATTTGACTTTTACTAGCTGACAACAAGTCATGTACACTAAATGCACAACACTGCCAACTAGTGGTGTATGAACCCTTGTATAGCTTAATTCTACAACAGCCGATTGCTGGAGATGTGATTTCCTGAAACAGACCTTTGGCTCTTGATGTAAAAATTAAATAGTTGTTGAGGATTGCTAGTTCGGCTGCTTCTTTGTCTTTTTCTTTTGTTTGTTGTAGATTTTTCTTTAAAGAAGCATCAATAAAGTGATTTTAAAACTGTTTATTGGAAAACTGAAGTGATGCATTCTGGGTACATGACGGATTTGATTTGTGGAAAACAAACAGGAAACTAGTATCTTCCCTTCAAAATAAGAGCTTGTATTTTAGTTTTCCATGTTTCCATTGGATTCCATTCACCTGAAACTCATCAGACTGAAGAAGTCTCTTTGAGGAGAGACGAAACGTTTCACTAAAGAAGAACCATCCAGAGGACCTACTTATTTTTTCTTTTTGATTTTTTTCTACCTGATTAGGAAGTTTTCCATGTAGTTGCTCCAGTTGACCACTAGATGTCAGTCTTCACCAGCGTAACATCTTTAAATCATTTCTGAGTCTCTAACACCGTTAGCTGATTGTTTTTGAGCTCCAGCGTTTGAACTTTATTTTTTTTTTTAAAAAACGAGCTCCGATTGTAAAGTAAAATAAATCAATACATACAAAATTTCAGTATGGATTACAATTATAATTATTTTTGCTGTTGCCTTGCTGCTATGTAAGCAGACACAAAGCATTGTGGGAAATCAGAACCGTAACCGAGAGCAACTGTCAGCAAGGATGTATACGTTTCCAATAAGTGTGTTTATCTGGGAGAGGTGCTGTTGGATAGATCACATGTTGTGATTCATTGACAGTCATACCTTCTGCTGTTCAAGATAATGATGACTGGTAGATAATTAGTTATTAGCGGTACTGCGTTTAAATTTTAGAAAGCGCAAATTCGCTTATGAATTATAAAAATTTGTAAGACCGCTAAAACGCAAATGAAATATTTAGGTCCACAATTAGCGGATTTGTGCTGTAGTGGACTGGTGCCCACCACTGGTCCACGCGAATAGAAACTCTATCCTGTCCGTCAATACATTGGGTTATGTTAAAGCTGGCCTCTCTGTGGGGCTTGTCAGCTCTTGGATGAATAATGTAGCACCACCACCACGGCCCCACAACAACTGTAGATGTCCTGAAGTTCAACTCTGCCCTGAGGGTCAAGTGTGTCTCCTCTTGGGTCAGTACTTTGTGTGTCGAGTCCAAAGTGTCACAGTGAGTGTGAGTCAGGGACTGTGATGTTCTGGACAAAAGAAGCTGAGTGAAGCCGAGGGTTGGTGTGACACAGGAGGATGCTGGGAGAGAGCAGCTGAAAACAGAATCTTCTTCCATCCTCCCACTGAACAATCAGTTCTAACGTTAAACCATCTTTTTATCTTCACTGGTTTGGTCCGGTTATCTGTGGCTTAAAACACAAACATCAAGTCCTCACGTTGCAGAATGTTGTAATAAAATCTGTTTTTTTTCATCACATCACCCTCGCATTTTGGATCTGATCTTTTCAAAATGTCACATGTATTAAAACAGTATTTGGACAAGATGCAAACCTCAGCTGAAGCGTTTGAATCATTTTTCCTCCTCCAGAAATGAAGCAGTTTCTAAGCAACCGCGGCCGAGACGCCCACATGAACTGGTTTGAGTCAGCCTCAGACTGGGAGCAGGAGCTGGAGCGGTGTGGAGCCACGGGCTGGAGGGTCAGCTCGCTCAACGACCGCTTCGAAATGTCAACCAGGTAAATCCACGAGCTGTGTACATCAGGTGTACATCAGTGCTGTTTTATGAAATAAAACCCACGTCAGAGGGATTCACCCACATGAAACCCTGGAAAAGATCATGTTTCTGATGCTTTTTTAATGCAGATGAAACAAAACGGCTCCTACAAGGTCAGGGTGGGACAGGGAAACCACTCAGTCTGTACTTTATTGATGTTCTTCCTGTGAGCTAATGCATTCATCATGTCTGTTTATATTCTGCTTCCTGACAGTCTGTCCAGGTTTATCGTGGTTCCACACAAGGTTCTGGACACGGAGCTGAAGAAGAGTTTTGCTCACTTCAACGAAGGACGCATTCCTGTGAGTTTCAGTACAGAGAAACTATTTAATTATGACACACACACACACACACACACACACACACACACTTACACACACTTACACACACACACAAACACTGGAGGAAA